ATCTTGATCCAAATCCTGGAATGCTCTCAAATAAACAGGACCAGATCCGGAGATATGTCTTAAAACCTTGCTATCCAGGGCTTGTCCTTGGCGCAGTGTAATTGGAACAATTGCTGTTCCCACACTTCTAACAAACTCAAACCTGCAACATCAAAATAGCCAATCAGCGTTCACAAATTACAACTGCCCTATTATAAATGCGTAATAAATTTGTTTAAGTTTACAATTAGCCTGCGTGGGAGGTTCATTGAATAATGAGCCTGCGACAATCTCAAGGAAATTTGGTATTTCTGAGAGGATGTGAAAATCCTATTGGCTAAAATATGTGCCAAAATATGCATAAATTATAAAACCGTATGTGGCACAATGTTTATTAATATTCGCTAACAATAAAAGTGTATATTTTTGAAAGAGTACTGTGAATTTTACCCTGGGTGCCAGAGCCTCGTGTGCCGATAGAAGTGAGGGAACGACGAGGAGGCTCTGGTCACACGAGCATCCAGTTTCACTTTGGTGAGTTCAATATTTTCATTGGTTAACCGATGAGCGTCGGTTAACCAAGGAAAAGACTCAGATAAATTTGCTTGTGTGAATGAGACATGAATGAATGCCAGAGATACTGTAGCTGAGAGCTTTGCTGCATTAGCTTCTCAAGTTTCATTTTAATGCTCAAAAGCATCTGAGGTTCATCAGGACAACTAATACCCACTGGTAAATGTGTAAATGGCAATAATCGGCTTTGGCCGATTAATCGGCCGATTATTACGTATTATCGGCCACCGATTAATCAAATCGGCTAATCAGCAATTTCAGCGATCGGCTCACCCCTACTGCCAATTTTTTGAATTCGCAAGCTACTCTATGCCCTACAACAGTAATAAAGTATATTACCTATTACTCTCACTCCATCACGCACAGTCTATAGACGGTTCGTATTCAAGGATAAATGAAATAAATTATCATAGTAAATAGTGGGCAGTCATCAAATTTCCTTTAGATAGTTGCAGGCTCTCCTTTCAATGAGCTGCCTGCCTGCCTGCCTGCCTGCCTGCCTGCCTGCCTGCCTGCCTGCCTGCCTGCCTGCCTGCCACGCAGGCTAGTTCACAAATTATAAAAACAAAGTAAATTATAAATTCAAATACAAACTTACGGTATTAATTCAGGGCTGTCAATTCCCAGCACCTTTGGAAAGAGTTTGGCAGCTTCAGATTTAAGATCTTCCGCACTCCAACTTTTATCGACCGCCCATGCATCGACACACAAATTTTTCTCGATGAGGTCAACTTTGACTTTTCCTCTTGGGACGGTGTTCCATGTTGGCGAAGGAAGTAAACATACTGCTTTGTAATAAACTTTTGGTTCTGCGGATACTTGACTTGCGCTACTGGAATACGGCTGAAACCGCCCAGTATTGCCAGAACGATTCGCACTTCGAGGTCGCCTTCGAGAAGTTGCACGTGCACTATTCGGCGTAGTCGCACCATAATTTGTCCTCGCTGAAAAGCCAGATGATAGCGAGCATGAAAGAGTTGGCTGACTTGTTACTTGTGGTTGGCAGGATTGTAAGGTCTGAGGACGTCGACTCAATTCATTTGTATCGGTTGTTGTACAAGCTGCTGTTTGCGAATTTGGCTGGCTTTCTGCTCGTGCCGGTGGTCGAAAGGACTGCGAGCCTCGAGGAATTTGGAAGCAACGGTTCAGCTCCTCATTTGTTGTTGTCGAAGCGCTAGCTGTTCCCGTAGGATTAGGTGACGATCTTGGCGGCAATCTATTAAAATTATCAACCACTGCTCTAACAATATCTTGAATGTTGACCTGACCATTTGGCACACCAGCCATACTTCTTTTTCACAATTATTCAGATCAAATGTCAAACGTAAATTTTACTTCCGTTTGCTGCTCAGACGAATTACCTTGAAAATTCCACACTTCCGTTTCCACTGGACAAGATTTTTTTTTGTATCAACCAATTTCCGGTTTTAATCGAATTTTTATTCTTGAAAGTTTTTTATTTTTTTCGACGAGATTTTTATTTCGAATGTTTTTTATTTTACTTCCGATCGAAGACTTAAAATATTTTTGGCAGCATTTTATAAAAATTGGCCTGATTTTTTTATTTTTGGAATAAAATACGTTAATTTGGAATAATTTTTTAATTACGCTATTTTGTCCGCAACGGAACGCAATAGTTTCAAAGACGTCGCATCGACGTCGTTAAATGAACGTTGTTTCGACGTGGAATCAAGGTTGATGTACCAACGTCGATTTATAGACTACAATTCAACGTTGTGTGAACATTGGTTTGAAGACGTTGCATCGACGTCGTTAAATGAACGTTGTTTCGACGTGGAATCAAGGTTGATGTACCAACGTCGATTTATATACTACAATTCAACGTTGTGTGAACATGGGTTTGAAGACGTTGCATCGACGTCGTTAAATGAACGTTGTTTCGATGTGGAATCAAGGTTGATGTACCAACGTCGATCTATAGACTACAATTCAACGTTGTGTCGACATTGGTCTGAAGACGTTGCACCGACGTCGTTAAATGAACGTTGTTTTGACGTGGAATCAAGGTTGACGTACCAACGTCGATTTATATAACTACAATTCAACGTTGTGTCAACATTGGTTTGAAGACGTTGCATCGACGTCGTTAAATGAACGTTGTTTCGACGTGGAATCAAGGTTGATGTACCAACGTTGATTTATAGACTACAATTCAACGTTGTGTCAACATTGGTTTGAAGACGTGGCATCGACGTCGTTAAATGAACGTTGTTTCGACGTGGAATCAAGGTTGATGTACCAACGTCGATTTATAGACTACAATTCAACGTTGTGTCAACATTGGTTTGAAGACGTTGCATCGACGTCGTTAAATGAACATTGTTTCGACGTGGAATCAAGGTTGATGTACCAACGTCGATTTATAGACTGCAACTCAACGTTGTGTCAACATTGTTTTAAAGACCTTGCATTGACGTTGCTAACTGAACGTTGTTCCAACGTGGAATGAATGTTGATGTACCGACGTCGATTTATTGACCACAATTCAACGTTGTATCAACATTGTTCCAAAAACGTTGCATTGACGTTGCTAAATGAACGTTAGAAAAAATCTTAGATGCCGTGTGTAGCCAGGATTAGACATAACGAAAAGATGAGACGTTAATTCTCTGGCTAAATATATATTTATTATTCACAAGCTTTCAGCTACCAGTCTGTAACCTTCAACGGGTGCATGTATAGTGAGATATAAGGACGCTAAAACTATATATGTGTAAAATGAAAGCAGATGTGATGTATGTGCATGTGCAATCTGAAATATGAAGAGGTGATTTTACAATTTCTTTATTAAGGCTGCGTATATTGTCGAGGAAGTGAAGGCTACAGACTGGTAGCCGAAAGCTTGTGAATAATAAATATATATTTAGCTAGAGAACGTCTCTTCTTTTCATAAATGAACGTTGTTTCAACATGGAATTAAGGTCGATGTACCGACGTCGATTTATTGACCACAATTCAACGTTCTATCAACATTGTTTCAAAGACGTTGCATTGATGTTATTAAATGGACGTTCTTAAGGCTAGCTGGCTTACACTTGCAACTTTTGCTGCGATTTCTAGTGCGATTCTCTCCTTTTGATGTATGTGAACGAATGGATTAGTTATTTAATGTTCTGAATACATATGTACCATCATCTGAACATTATAACTCATCCTCTCGTTCACATGCATCAGAAGAAAATCGCGTTATTTTGAAGAAAAAACTTCCTTGTATTTCTACCTTTTGAAATAAAACTTTCCTCACGATTTCCTTTTCAAAAGTTTTTTGGTGGGCGAGAACCCCCCCCCCCCCCCCCCCCCCCCCCCCCCCCCGCGTACTGTCATCAACTGGCCGACCACAATTCAACGTTGTATCAACATTGTGTCAAAGGCGTTGCATGAACGTTGTTAAATGAACGTTGTTTCAACGTGAAATCAAGGTTGATATTCAAACGTCAATATTTGGTTCAACGTTTTTCAACTATTTTCAGCCTACATAAATGGTTGCACACATGCACAATTAAAGATGTAGTTCGTCGCGAAAATTATGCGGTGCCTTATTTGGAATTCGTTACCATATTTAGTCATTAGTTTCCAGTCACATTGTGTGAGACGCTGACAGCGCTGTACGTTGCTCTTTGACTCTTTGAGTTCCGAGTTCCGATATTTTTTTACCAAACTGCATGAAAACTCTTCTGCTGTCGTAAAAGCTGAAAATACTTTGTTTATTTGTCTCCGTTTACTGTCAGAAAGTTGGACAACAAGAATTGTGAAGTTATTCAGGTTAGTAAGACGTAAATTGCACGTTTTAGTTCGAAAAATGCTTTTAAAATTTAGGATTTAAAACGATTTAAAAGTGGCGGGAATTTTATAAAAACAATTTTTCAGAAAAAAATTCCCACAAAAATGACTGTTTTTGGCCCTGCTATATTTTTTAATGATTTTAAAAGGTTTCCTTAGTTAAAGCTAGTGTTAATTAACGCGTAGTTTTTGGGAGATACTCCATTACGAAAAACTGCATATGGCCATGGGCCGGTTTTTTTACGTTTTTCAGTACATACTGTATTTCAGTGACAGTTGCCTACATCATGGCAATCGTAATTTTATTGAGAATTAAACGAATTTAGTTTGTATTATTATGTACTTTGTTTAATTAATGGTTTCAAACTATTTTCAAACTAAAATACCGCTATGTGTTTTCAAAGAAAGAGTTTATAGGTTTATATAAAATTATGTACTCTAGTTGAACTTTGGACTATATTGTTGTAGACCTACTGCAGACTGATCTACGGACTCGATCTATTAAGATATCTATGATCTATGCATGTATTTTCTAAAAAGGGCCATGTGTAAAAACTATATTATTTATTAATATCTAATAAGTGAAAATGAACACTAAAAGTGCATAAAAACTTCTATAGTCATTATAGGTCGGTGGATAAATCGCTATCCGGTGGATAAGTCCCTATCCAGCGGATAAATTTTATCCGGAGTGAAAATCGCGTTGTACGAAGCTTGGATAGCGCTGTCCAACGGATAAAATGCACTATCCGTTGCATAAATTTATCCGAGGTCTGGAGGTAGTTTAAATCCACTATCCGGCGGATAAACTCAAAGTTTGAAGACAAAACAATGTCTATTTCTTTTAAAAGGGGTTGCTATTGTGATAGAAATGGACAAATACCGTTTGGAAGTCCCTTTTTTAACACTAAATAAACATGGAAACTTACTTATGACTTCTTTTGGCCTTGCTCTTGACGTACGGTCTATAGCTAATGCCATGACTTTGCCATATTTTACGCAGACCAGTGTCAGTGCTTAGACGTTAAGTTTTCTGGCTTTTTTCCTTCTTTTTTCTATTATACAGCTCGAAAACAAGCAATAAAACTTTCATTAAATGAGTTGCAAACTGCAAACAAATATAGCTGCATATATTAAATAGACAACAAGGCGCCGAAAGTCGAAAAAGTTTGTTCGCTGGCCTTGATCAGCCAATCAAATCTTGCGAGAAAATGTTCTTAAAATTGTTTTGAAAGAAGGGAAAGGTCAAAGAACAAATATTCCGACAGTATTTAAAACAAAATATTAATACATAACAAAATTCATTCATAACAAAGCATTCATAACAAAATATTAATACAAACCCTAAACTTCATCTTCACCAAAATTGATATGCAGTTGATCTGCAATACCAACCTCGCCAGAAACTCGAGTAAACGTTGATTCAAAGTCTGGCTTGGACGTCGTGCAGATAACGCTCCATGATTCCAGATGAATAGTCAACCTTTGATCAACGTCGATAGAACGTGAACTTACGACGTCACTTTAACGTTGGACAACAGACGCTTCATGGAAATCGAAGTTTTTATGGCAACATTGTTTCGACGTCGTAAAAATTACATTGTTTCGATTTGCATGCATAGTCAATCTTGAATCAACGTCGATGCAACGTCAGATGATGACGTCCTTTCAACGTTCAATGACTGACGTTGGATTGACGTTTGCATTATAACGTTGTTTAGACGTCGTAAAAATTACGTTGTTTCGATTTGCATAGTCAACCTTGAATCTACGTCGATACAACGTCAGATGATGATCACGTCCTTTCAACGTTAAATGACTGACGTTGGATTGACGTTTGCATTATGACATTGTTTAGACGTCGTAAAAATTACGTTGTTTCGATTTGCATAGTCAACCTTGAATCTACGTCGATACAACGTCAGATGATGACGTCGTTTCAACGTTCAATGACTGACGTTGGATTGACGTTTGTATTATAACGTTGTTTAGACGTCGTAAAAATTACGTTGTTTCGATTTGCATAGTCAACCTTGAATCTACGTCGAAACAACGTCAGATGATGACGTCGTTTCAACGTTCAATGACTGACGTTGGATTGACGTTTGTTTAGACGTTATTTAGACGTCGTAAAAATTACGTTGTTTCGATTTGCATAGTCAATCTTGAATCTACGTCGAAACAACGTCAGATGATGACGTCGTTTCAACGTTCAATGACTGACGTTGGATTGACGTTTGTATTGCAACGTTGTTTAGACGTCGTAAAAATTACGTTGTTTCGATTTGCATAGTCAACCTTGAATCAACGTCGATACAACGTTCGCCACAACGTCGTTTCAACGTTGTATCGACGTCATTTTGCCCGGTGGGATATAGGCCGATGCTTTCTTTGGCAAACTTCTTACTTAGGTGATTTAGGATGAAAAGGCCAACTAATTCACATATTTCGGCGCCATCGTGGCTGCCCATGGTAACGTCAAACAA